CTGCAAGGCTAATTCCAATAAATCAAAGAAATGTACTTTGTTTCTTCTCTAATCCCAACTCTTTCTCCAAGCACAAGTCAGTGGGTTTAACTAAGGATGAAGACTGAGACATTTGTCCCTGACTCCGTGAGCCAACTTGGTATTTGGGGCTGCTTCTGCTGCCTCCAACAGGAGCCAGAGTTTTCTTAGAGATGCTTTCTATTAAAAAAAAAAAGTGAAAATAACTCATTTGGACATGGTGAAGCTTAGAGGTCACAGCTGGCATCTGAATTCACCAGGCTGCTCAATTCCAACCCTGGCGTGCTGGCACATGGCTTTGCTCCAGTGCCCCATCCAAGAAGTCCTGAAAGCAACAGCCAGGGCAGGAGCACAAAACCCTGACGTGGGGAGAAAAATCTGCTTCTTCCAAAACCTTTATCTGCTAAAGGACACGCTTTTTTTGTAAAGAATTCAACCCCTCGGGGAGGGCAGCTTGGAGTCTGCACCCCTCTCCATGGACAAAGGGAATTCCAGTGATCCCCTGGCTCTCAGAGACCATCTTCTGGCAGGAGGCCAAATTTGCAAGGAAGTCTTCCAGAGCAGCCAAATGATTAACACCAAACTGTAACTGTAAAATGTAATTAAAGAGAGCAGCCTACGTGCTGCTGGAGCAACAGCAGCGGGCGGGGAGGAACGCGGGATAAGAAAGTGAAGTGAAATAAAAGCAGCAGGTCTTGGAAGAAAGGGCAAAGCATTCACACAGGAATCATCTCTTGCACTCAGACAAGTTTCAGCTGAACCAAGGAGTTCCCTCCTACAAGAAAACACTATCCATATTTTCAATTTTCAATATTCTCCTTTCTGCACACCTAGAAGTAAATAAAGAAACCCACAACAGCTTCCTCAGCTAAACCAATGAGTTCCCTCCTACAAGAAGAGACTATCCACATTTTCAATTTTATATTCCCCTTGCTGCACATCTAGAAGTAAATAAAGAAACCCACGACTGCTCCTTCACTCTCTGATTTGAAAACCACATTTGGCTCCTGCTTTTCCAACCCCTCTGGAACTCTTTCCTTCCTACTCACATGTGGGGCTGCAGTTTGGTGCCAGCAGCCAGCGGGGACATTCGCAGCGCCACGATGAGCGACAGTGCCACGGCAGGAAACTCCATCGCAGCTGCTCTCCCTCCCTCCAGGTGCTTCCAGAGGTTATCCCGGGAATCCTGGGAGTCTCCTGCTCCCAACGTGCCCGTGTCTGTCTGTCCTTGCAGAGCACAAAGCTATGGCAGCACAGGGGGAGAGCGGATTTATCCTTCCTGGATGCTTCCTCCCTCTCCGCTCAGCCACTTTCTTCACTCCGCTGGAAATCACAGCGCAGGTTGCAGCTGGATTTTTCCCCGAGCCAAACCATGCTCCTCATGCTCGTTTGCTCGCGGTGAAACGCGCTGGAGTGACTTTTCCTCCTGGGATTTGCTTCCTGAGCTGGGGGCTCACAGGAGCTGGGTTGTGCCCAGCACAGCAGCCCCAAGCGGGCTGAGCTGCTCCGGAGCTGCCATCCCCTTCCCGAGGCACTTTGAAATCCAGCCCTTGGCAAGGAGAAAGGAGGAAGGAGGGGTGCTCTTCTGGCAGGAGAATCTCACCTCGCAGGGGTTTTTCCCGAAGCAGGCAGGGTGATCCTTCAGCGCATCCTCCGGAGATGGGAGAGAGGACTTCGGCACACACACACGCACCAGAGCAGCTCCCTGCGGGTCAGGGCAGCAAGGAAACTTCCCCCTGCCTTGCCCAGGTCCAGCTCCTTTCCCTCACATGCCTCTTTCCCCGCTGTCGGTCAGAAATCCCTCCCACGAGCGGTGCCCAGCCCCGAGCAGAGGAGGGGGAGGATGCAGGGATGGAGCAGCGGTGCCTCGGGGCTGCTTCTCCTGCACCACCCAAGGCTGTGTGCGGGCACACCAGCACAAATCCCGTTCCCAGAAGCTCAAAAAACATCCCACAGAGATTCAGTCTTCCCCATGCACTCCAACAGATAAAACTGATTGCTTCCCAAGGAAATTCTGCTGGCAGGGACACCTCCAACTGCACGCAGCAGCTGGCACAGCGGGATGGGGAGGAGGAGAGCAGGGATGCTGCACTAAACATCTCAAATAAACCATCCCCAAGGGCCAGCAGGGACCAGAGCAGCAGCTGGGCATCTCTGAGCTGCCCCAGGGCCCTCCAGAGCTCGCTTGGCCTGGGGCAGGTGCTGATTTCCATCAGAGAAGCAGGATAAGAAGGAGGGAGGCTGGGATAGTTTCATGGATATATTTTGTGGCTGAAGGACAACCATTAATCAAGGCTAAAGTCCCCAAGGGCCATGCCCAAAAGCTGCTGGGTCTTGGAAAAAACTGAAGCAGCTGCTCCTTACACCAGAACCCTCCCAAGGTCACAGCAGTGCCATAAATCCTCAAGTAAGAGAAAAGAGCAGGTGAGGGGGGTTAATGCTTCCACTTAGCAGTAAAATATCAGCCAAGCCTAACGGATGGGAAGAAAACATCATTCATTCTTCCTTGATAAGAAAGGCAGCTACATAAAAATGTTTTATAACAACAGAGAGAGCTCCAGGATACAATAAATCCAGGCCTCTCTTTTTCTGTCTGGGATTAAAAAGTTAGAACTTCCTTACAGTAGGAAGCAGGCTGCTCCCAGTTGGATTTCCAGGGATTGCTCCCAGCGGGCAGAGCTGGGAGTCGGGCTCCCTCTCCAGGACACGAGGCCAAGGATGGGATGGATCGGGGCGGCCACAGCTGCCACACTGCCCCAGGTGACAATCCTGGCTGTCACAACTCGCTGCAGGGTCCTGGCACGGCCGCTGTCCCAGCCACAGCCACCCCAGCCAGGCTGCCTGCAGGGAGAAGGGGAAGGTCCAATGGGAAAAGCTGAAATTTGAGGAGTGACCCAGCACAAATTCAGCCCTGCAGTCCTTCTAAAGTCCCTTTAAAGCCCAGAGTGACCCAGCCCAAACTCAGCTCTGCAGTCCTTCTAAAGTCCTTTAAACCCAGGAAAGACCCAGCACAAACTCAGCTCTGCAGTCCTTTTAAAGCCCCTTTAAAGCCACTATTGAGGTTTCCCACCTAAAGAGCCCCATGTGAGCAAGGGCTGTGGAGAGCAGGGGATTCATGGGACACATGTGAAAGGCAGATATCTGAAATCCTACCCTGTCTGTGAAGTCAATTTAGTATGTTTTCAATTTTCTATCATTTCCCAGCTGCCTGCTGAGGATGTCATCCTCTGGCTCCGTGAAAAACAGCCCTGAAAGGGGTCCAAGATATGATACAGCTCCATAAACACTGATGATAATATCTGCAGCCATGCCAGAGACCACAGAAACTGAAGCATTTACGTGCCATTCATTCCCCAGCATTATTTAATCTTTGCTATCAGTGTGCTGGATGTGATATGGGCGCCAGGGCTCTCCATGTACAATCCTGTGCCTATCCCACCCTCCTCTGGTACCTTCCTGAGCTCTGTCCTGATGATATTTAAGGATTTTGCACATCTGACCCACATCAGCTCTGCCTGGCCTCTGTAGACCCACACATCTTGTTCCTTTATGGGTATGTGAGAGTCTTGCCCAGACCACCTGGGCAGAGCAGAGCATAATTTTGGCTGAGCTCAGGGCCTCCCACTGTACATTATGTGATGCATGTGGGTTCTTGTTTTAGCCCTGAAAATCCACAGCAGGGCTGAGACAGGCCACAAACACCTCTGGGTGTGCAACCATGGTGGCACCTGGGACTTCTTACAGCACCAGGTGTGTGGCAGCAATGACACCTGGTACCTGATAGAGCTCTGGACAGGGGATGTGACAGCACCCACCACCTCACACAGCACCAGGTTTGTGATGGTGACAGTACCTGGTGCAGCCCCAGTGTGTGACAGTGATGGCATCTGGTACCTAATCAGCTCTGAGCAAGGGATAATGACAGCACCATAGCAAATGACTTAGCCAGAAAATAATGACTAATGATAAGATAATGACTTAGCCATAGCAAATCTAGGGTTGGTAAATCCTGTGCCAGCCACTGCGGTCATACAGGAGACCTAAATTAACTTTATAACAGCGCAAAGAGAGGTCACATGTTATCCAAGTAGCCAAGATTAAAAAGCAACTAAGCTGTCACAAGCCTAAGATGCCAATAAGGCCTCCCCACCAAAGAAGATCCCAGAACAACCGCTTTGTACAGCCCCGGGTGTGTGACAGCAATGACACTGGGTATCTCATCCAGCTCTGGGCAGGGGATGTGGCAGCACCCACCACCCTGCTGTGTGATGGTGACACCACCTGGCACCTTGTACACCCAGTGTCCGATGGTCACAGCACCTGACACAGCCCTGGCCATGTAACAGTGACGGTACCTGGTACCGAATCAGCTCCGAGCAAGGGATAATGACAGCACCTACTGCTTTGTACGGCCCCGGGTGTGCGATGGGGACGGTCCCAGCAGCCCGAGCTGTGTGACCATGACAACACCCGATACCAGGGCCTCATCCCGCATCCCGCCGGGTCCAGGCCGAGCATCCCGGGCAGGGCTGCGGTGCCGGATCCCGGTCGGGGCTGCAGTGCCGGGTCCAGGCCGAGCATCCCGGCCGGGGCTGCAGTGCCGGGTCCAGGCCGAGCACCCCGGCCGGGGCTGCAGTGCCGGGTCCAGGCCGAGCATCCCGGCCGGGGCTGCAGTGCCGGATCCAGGCCGAGCATCCCGGCCGGGGCTGCAGTGCCGGGTCCAGGCCGAGCATCCCGGCCGGGGCTGCAGTGCCGGATCCAGGCCGAGCATCCCGGCCGGGGCTGCAGTGCCGGGTCCAGGCCGAGCATCCCGGCCGGGGCTGCAGTGCCGGGTCCAGGCCGAGCATCCCGGCCGGGGCTGCAGTGCCGGGTCCAGGTCGGGGCTGCAGTGCCGCCTCCCGGCGCGGCGCGGAGCGAGAGGCGGCTCCGAGCGCTCCGCCCGCGCCGCTCCGCCCCGGAAGGCTCGGAGCGGCCGCCCGGCGATGCTGCAGCTGCGGGACGCGGACGAGTCCGGCCCGGCCGGCGGCCCCGGCAGCCCCGGCAGCCCCGGGGCCGCCACGCTGGTGCCGGGGGGAGCCGGGCCGCCCTTCGAGCCCGCGGCGCCGCCGGCCCGGCAGACGCTGCGGCCGCTCAGTGTGCGCACCGCGGGCCGCGCCGGCCGCCTCCGCCAGTACTTCGTGTTCCGGGTGCGCAACGGGAGCGGCGCGGGGGCGGCCGCGGGCACTGCCCGCCTGCCCTGCCCTGACCGCTGCCCTGTGCTCTCTGCCTTGTCCCCCCGCAGCCCGGAACCATCGAGCAGGCGGTGAGCGAGATCCGCGTGGTCGTGCTGCCCGCAGAGGACGGGGAGGTGCAGAGCGTGTGGCTGCTCACCGAGTGAGTTCCGCGGCCGGATGGGATGGGATTGGGATGGGGAGAGCTTGGCCCCGCGGGGTTGGTCCGGAGCCGCACAGCCCACAGCGCTATTCGGTATTAAATCTGCTGAATATTATTCCATGGTCCAGGCTGGCTGCAGCCGTCATTATTTCATTATTTCTTTATAACCCAGCCCTCCAGATCGCCACCAACACACCCCAGTTAACCCCTTATGAAATCCAGTCCCACAGAGAACCCACTCCAGCCCAGGCTGGCTGTAGCCATCATTATTTCATTATTTCTTTATAACCCAGCCCTTCAGCTCCAGATCAACGCTCCCGAGTTAACCCCTTACAAAATCCAGTCCCACTCCTGCAGTAAAGCACAGGCACAGCTTTAAGAAACTGAGCCAAAGCCCCGTGTGTGCAGCAGGGCACAGACCCTCAGCCCTGCAGATGCCAAGCAAAATGACAGAAAATACAGCGTCACCAAGACTTCAGATTTGTTTTCCTCAGCAATTCTCCTTTCTGCCAAGCTCTGGAGTGTTCCTAGCCATGAGTCAAAACCACTTAAACTCAGCGGTGCTCTCTCCCCAGAATCGATCACTGGAACAACGAGAAGGAGCGCCTTGTCCTCATCACAGACTGGTCCCTCCTGGTCTGCAAGTACAACTTCATCAGCCTGCAGTGCCAGCACGTCACCAGGATTGCCCTCAGTGCTGTGGACACCATCTCCGTGGGGGAGTTTGTGTTCCCACCCAAATCTCTCAACAAGTAAGCAGCCACAGGCACAGGTTATTGGGAACGGATTGAGCTGTCAGCCTGACCACGGGAATGGTGTGAGAATTCCTTTTGTTTGCTTAACTTTGCAAACAACTCCTGAAGCTTTACTAGAACTCCTCAGGGTAGCTGCTGGTTTGCTGGGGTGGTGAGTAGTTGCACTAACAGCAAGTTGCTCAAGGCCTTTCAAGATAAGAGGAGTAGATTTGGGAGCAGAAACTCATCACCATTACATAATGCAGTAAGTAGTAACCTCAGCATGAGTAGAAAGCTGTGAGTGGCAGGACATGGGGGCTGTCACAGGCTGGGAAGGATGGCCAGGGTGTCCCAGGTGCTTCCCCTTCTTGCTCTCAGCTCATAAGAATGTCCCTTTGCACATTCCAGGGCCTGAATTATTGCATTTCTCTCCTTCAGTAAAATTTACTATCACTTCTATTTCAATATAGCTTGTGGTTCCAAGCAGGTCTTTTTCAGACAGAACATTTTTAGTTCACCTTGCTCAAAGGCAAGTTTTACCCTGTTCATTGTGCACTGGCAGGAGGGAAGGCATTGGCATCCGCATCCAGTGGGACAAGCAAAGCCGAGCCTCCTTCATCAACAGGTGGAACCCCTGGTCCACCAATATCCCCTACGTGACCTTCACCGAGCACCCCATGGCTGATGCTGACGAGAAGATCTCCTCCCTGTGCCGGGTAAGGAGCTGCTCCAGGCACCTCATTGAGCTCATAGGATAAACACAACTTCAACACAACACATCAATTAATCAAACACAAGCAGTTACATCACAGGTGGAACTGGGAGTTCTATTTCCCCAGTCTCCAAATTTTGATTTGCAAGGCGGCCCCATCGCCCTCTTTTGCCAGCCACTCATAATTGGATGAAACACAGAGGAAGCCAAAACTTCTGAAGGTGCAGAGTGCTATAAAACCCAAAAGCAAATGGATCCTGGGCTGTTTCTGCTCTTACTTACCTGACAGGGTGATAGACTTTTCATCTGCCAGCTAATTAACAGACAGGTTAATTGCTCACTGAAAACCTTCACTGAGGTGGTTCTCTGTTCTTTTTGTAATTGGTGCTTCCCTCTGAAGGTTTGCCTAAAATTAGAACGCTATTAAGCATAACACATCAGTGAGCAGGGCAGAACCACAGTCAGAAATAAACAGCTGGTCACTGGTAAATCTACCCTGTTTAATTGTCCTGTGTGAAACTACGTGAATCACTGAGGTTAAATATCAGACTGTGACTATCATAGCCCATAGAGCCCTGACAGCTTTGATGCCAATCTTTCACCATTCCCTCTCTGCTTAATAGCTTGTAAAACAATGCCAAAGCAAGGCGATTTCTTTTCTTCCAGCTGGAAAACTTTCAAACCCAGCTGATCCAGGCTGTGAAGAAAGCCCACAAGGAGGGCCCAGTGCCAGGAAGTGCTAATGGGGTGTTGGTGCTGGAGCGGCCCATCCTCATCGAGACCTACCTGGGACTCATGTCCTTCATCAACAACGAGGCCAAGCTGGGCTACTCCATGACAAGAGGCAAAATTGGATTTTAAACCCCCTTGTGTGTCACCTGTTCAAGGGCAAGTGAGTTGGGGAGAGGGTGCTGAGGGCAGAGCACGTGATAAAGTTGCCAGGGAAGGGAAAGGAAAGGAAAAGAAAGGAAAGGGGGACATTGTAGGACAGTCCCAGATTGTTTGGGGAATGCACAGGCTGGATTTGAAGCAAACACAGGGTGGTGCCAGCCTTGTATTTTGTACCTGATTTACAGCCCTCACTGGTCCTTATGCAGGGTGAATGAGCTGTGGTGTGTTCTGTGTCCCAGAGCCTGCTCTTCCCAAGTCCATCAAGTGCCACTGGAACCTGCTGAAACCCCCAGAGCACAGCAGGACCTTGGTGCCACGGCCCTGCTGTATCCCTGTGTACGCTGTCAAATCCTGTCGTGTGCTTGGGACTCCCTTGTGTTGTTTAAGAGGAATTGCTGTTCCAATCACCATGATCTCAGAGCTCTGATTAATGCCTGTTAGGAATTTTCAAAGCTGTCAGTCAGTCTTTAGCAGTATTTGCTAGCTTTTGCTAAAGCTGCCACTGTTCCACCTGCTCAGCAGCAGTTTGTGAACTCAATATGCATTTCTGAGCTTCTTGTAAAAATCCCTTTAAGAACTTACTGGAACTTCCTCTCTACTTCTGTTTCTTTGCTGCAGCCACAGAATAAAGACTGTTGTGAGAGAAGGTTGCCAAAAGCCTCACAAACCCATTTGCCTTCAAAGCTGTTCTTTGTAGAACTGAAAAGGAATTCTATTTTGGTTAGATTGATACTCTTAGCCATTTTTCTTAAATCTACTCTAGTTTGGGCCAGGACTTTTTAATGGAGACAGAGAAAATTTTCAGCACTGTGTGTCAGCCTTGATTCATACATTCCTGCACTGAACCTCTCATCCAGGGATGAAATTCAGGAGAGATTACAGCTGTAATTGCTCAGGAGGTGACTCTAACAAGCTTTTTCCTTGTGCATGACGTTCTCTCCATGCTCTTTCCTCAGAGCTGGATGAACACTGTGCCACAGTGGTTTTGATCTTAATGTAGGTGAGTGTTTGTGAGACTCCTGTTGCAGTCAGTCCTGACTCCAGCTTTCCAAGCTTCTCCATGTGTTTTCTAAGTTACCTGTTCAATTTTCATTAACCTTGCAGTAAAGTTAAAATTTCAACTCTTACTTGGTATTTGTTCTTCATTTTCTGGAGATTGAGGCTGTGAAATCAGGTAACAAAAGAAAAAACATCCACTAAATTCCTAAACAAGAGGTTCCCTCCTTGGAAGGACACAGGGGAAAACAAGGAAGGATTCCAGCTGCTCCTTCCCTGCCAAACCATCCACTCCTGTTGGGCACCAGAGTTGGGACAAAACTCCCATTTCAGTCACCTGTAATTCAGCATCTTGCAGTGTCAAATTGTGATCCCTCTGGCAAAGTTTCCATGTAATAAATCCACAGTGGCCCAAGCACAGTTACCGTCACCCAAAATTATTTGTGTGCAAGTAACAGTTTCCTTGTGCTGGGATAAATCATACATCATCACATCACTGACCACACTGAAACAGACTTTCAAGTGCAGAGGTGCAGGTTTATAGTTTGTAACTATCAAAATATTTATTGGAAATAGAAAATTTAAATAATAGCTATACATTGTATATACACAGAGCTACAGTTTTAGAAAATAAGAGTTCAGAGTTGAAAAAGATCAACTCCCTCAATATTCAGGTTTTCTGTCAATAGACACTCATTCCTTACATTGCACTTGCTACATCACTTCATTCAAATGCAGTCACAATATTTCACACACTGAGCTTGGAGCTCCTTCAAATAAATAACTTATAAATACAAACACTTCAGACTGGGCAACAGGTTTGCACTCCTTTCCTCTTTCTTCCTCAGACTTGGGAGCAGTTTTAATGCATTTTAGTTCTTTTATTTTACCTCTTCTCTTTCCAAGTAGCACACACAGAAGTGGTCCTTGCTCAGGAGCAGCATGGAGTCCCCACTGGAATGCCAGGAGAGAGACACAATCTGGAAATCACCTGCAGGAAAAACCAGTGTGTCAGCAAGCTGGCAGCTCATCCTCCTGCTGGAGGAAAAGGCAGCTGGAATCAGCCACACAAATAAATCCCTGTGACATTTCCTGTGTCTCACTATGAGCTCCTCTTTTCCTGACAGTGAAAACACCCATTTTTAAACAGCTCCAAGAACACACCTGAGCCATTTCCAGGATAACACTCAGATCAATTTATAAATGGAATATTATTTTTCACCAATTTCAGATTCTTTACTTCTTTTCTGTCAGGGTTGGGATTAAATTGTGAGATGGTATTTCTTGTTGGGACTCTGATGTTTGTTAGTTCTTATCTCTGTTACAGTCCCACAAACCCTGAGTTCTACAGCACTTCACTCTTAACAAACTAAAAATGGAGCTGTGTCTCTCCCTACAAGGCCTTTTAAGGATCAACTGTCCAATTAAGATATGACACCTAAATTATTTTTACTTTTAACCCAATAACCAAACACCCGTGCAATGTGAACTTTTTTATCCAATTCCACAAAACCACCCAAACCTGTGGAAGGGAAGGAGGAGAAGGAAGGAGGAAACAAAAAAAAGGAGGAAACAAAAAAAAAAGGAGGAAACAAAAAAAAGGAGGAAACAAAAAAAAAAGGAGGAAACAAAAAAAAGGAGGAAGCAAAAAAAAGGAGGAAGCAAAAAAAAGGAGGAAGCAAAAAAAAGGAGGGGGAAGAGGAGCCTCCACTCTAAAACCTCCATCTTGCTTTATACATATCACTATATTCTAAAACCCGAAACTCTAAGTTTTCCACCCTTTAATATTACACATTTCTATCCAAACTCCACGCCCACAATCCCAGTTCCATCATTCCATTCTGGACGCTTCTCCACAGCCTCAGGTCAAATGCAGCGTTCTCTTGAGGGGAAACTTTTTCCAGCACAGAAAGCCTAAAACTCTCAGCAGCCAAGGCTCCAACAAGTGAGCAGCTGCTGGGAGGTCGTGTGCTCACCTTCCCCAGGCACCTTCACAACCACACAGCCAGCTGGGGACCACAGGTACACTCGGCTGCTGCCCGTGCACACAGCCAGGCGGGGCTGGCAGGGGTCCCACTGGAAGCACTGGATGGTGTACAGCTGCTCCAACACCACTGCCAGCTTCAGCTTCCTGATGTCCCAGATCCACACAGCGTTGGGAATGTTATCTGCAGGGGAAACAGCAATGGTGTGACAGCTGGAGGATAAAAGGATCACATGTGGTTTTTCTAAATGCACAGGAACTAACTCGTACGACACAAATCTTTAGGTACACCCCAGGGTTAGCACCACTTGAGTTTTGCCAAGCAGAGCCTTCAGGAAATATTGCAAAAAAGGTAAAAGTGATCTAGTCCATCTCCCAGTCCTTTCCTGGCTTTTATCACATTTGTCTGTCTGATGGGTTTTGCACCTGACTCAGAGCTTTGGCACCCAGGCACAAACAGCCCCTCAGGACCAAAGGGAAAAATGGAACATTAATTCCATGAGTTTCACTATTCAGGAACTCAGTTTCACTATAGCAAAATAGTTTCAATATTCCTCAATAGTTTCACTATTCAGGAAGTCAGAATTCCTCCTGCTATAGGTTGTGCAAAGTTCTGCCTTTTAAGAGACCCAAGCTGTAAGTGGGAAGATTTGTTTCATTTTCAATACAGTGTGCTCACACAAACTTGAAGAAATATAAAACCTCACAATTTTCATTAAATACAGAGCCAAGGCTGAGTTCATGCCCTGACCAGCAGTTCTGGCAGCTCCCAACAGTTAACACACACTACAAGACAGGCTGGGATTCTTCTGTAGTAACACATCTCACAACAGAGCTGATTTTACAGGGCCATGACTCTTTTTATAGTGCAAAGGATCATTTCTGCTAAGGAAAGCCCCACATGCCCCACATGGTTTCCCCTCTAAGGTAGGGCAGTCGGAACTCACCATTTTTGGTGGCCAGGAAACAATTATCTGCACTGAAGGCCAACATCCCAACTCCCACTTTGGGATTTGCCTTGTCAGCAACTGGTTTGATGTAATTTAAAGAAACTGGCACTTGGCAAATGTCATCTGGAACAGGAAATAAAAGTATTTCACTAAGTGAGCCTGGATGGACAATGCATTTATATCCAACTGTTAAAACCCCTCAGCTCTGAAGTGATAGGACCATATTTTACTCTTCTCCAAGATGTTCCAATCAAAATTTCAATTGTTTTAAGATACTACATCTTCACACAGCCACCCTACTACTATTCCTGCCCTCCTACAGAAAAGGAAAGGCTGGAAATTCAGGCAAGACTGAGATTAAATCAGGAAAATGAAGAGAGCTTAATTTTTCTCCTACCTTCTAACTAGTATTTCAAACACTGTTAACCAAAGGTGATTTACAGTGCCACAAACACTGAGACTGATTTTTACTGCCCTAGAGAACATCCAGAGGATCTGTCCCACCATCCAAGGGGCAGAGTTCACCCACAAGGTTTATTTAAAGACTTCCCAAGGCAAACTCAAGTGTCTGGTTTGAGTAAACTTTGGCTTACATTTACTCTGTGTGCTGAAGAGAGAACTAGCCAATGCTCTTGTTGGAGGGAAAGAAAGTCTCTCTGTGCCAAGAGTTGGGGATTTCTCCACTTCTTTATACACAATCTACAAAGAAACAAGTGAGAGCTCTACAGAAGGGCCTTGGAGAGTTTGAACAGGGGCTGTTACCAAAAACCCACATCCCACTGGCTCATTTGCACATTTAGAACACCTCAGCATCCCCTGGTTCATCAAGAGAGGAAAGGGCTTCAGCAGGCAGATCTGGAATCCAGGCTTCCCAATGAATCATGGGCTATTTGGAACCATGATCAGGAAAAACACTCCAGAGAATAAGCCCCAAGGAGTGCACCTCATTTATTATTTCTGACAGCAAATTAAATCATCCCCATTACAGCAGGAACATGAATCTCATTTTTACAACCCCAAATCTTTCATCTGATTCTGCCACAAACAAAGTGCAGCGCTGCAGAAGGAAAATAGCAAAAGTATTTTAGTGTGCCTGCTGAACACAAGCACCAGGATAAAACACAGCAACTGCAATTCCTGTCTGTGTAGTGGAGATTAACAGAGCTATTTCCATTTGTTTTCCATGACATATTTTACACCTAACTGGAAGTTAAAGCATTTTTCAGCCATGAGAAGCTTTGCTGAGGTGCATTAATGGCTCGTGCCTGGCTTCTGGTTAAGAGGCAGAGCCATGTGAATATTGCAGGCTTACAATCCACACACAAACTCTTCCAGGAGGTCTGTTCAGTCCCTCTGCAATGGCAAACAGCACCACACACTGTTCTCATTACCTCCAGGGATGAGATCAGCTCAGGATTTTGGGAACAGCAGCTCTGCACCTGCTGCCAACAGCCCGGAATCTGTCAGGCCTTGCAGGTACAGGTATAAAGGATAAAAATCAATGCTGACAGATGTTCCAGGAAATGCCCTTTAGGTGAGCTGGATGAGCCTGTCCACACAGGATGGAAAATCTGAACACAATCCAGTTCCAGCACTGTTTAAAGTTAGGAATTGTATAAAGCTGAGACAAATCTCTCCTGTTCAGTTTTCCAGTTTGTATCTGCAATGCAGCCACCACCTACACCCCAAATACACTGGCATGTGACAGGAGCATCTCAGAATCATTACTGCTCAAGAGAGATGACCATAGACACATATTCCATCAATTTTTAAAGGATTCCCCTTTTTTGTTACATGCCCAGCTTGCCATGCAATTTCCCAAGCCCTGGCAGGAAAAAAAAAGAAAAGTCTCCAGAATTAAATGGATTAATGAGCATCTTTCAGATACAAACAGCAGCACCCAAGCTCTGCTAAGGTCTCCATGGATTTGGGATCCTCACTTACAGTCTTTTTGTTGGTAATGACTGCCGGATGCTCAAGCTCTGTGATCTTCTTCCACGTCACATGGTTCAGGATACGCACCTGGCTCAGGAAACGTGGCAAGGGGAGACTGTTAGGGCAAAGTTCTCCAAATTATTTAGATAAAAAAGGCAGGAAACATTTCTCACCTTCTCATCAAAGCTGCCAATGGCCAGGAACTGGCTGCTGGGACTCCAGGCAATTGATTTGATGCCCAGGGGCCACTCGTAGGCACGGT